CATGCTTCTGTTTCCTGTCAAAGTTGGTTTATGGGTACATCTGTTTACTATGAAGAAAGTGCCGTCTGAAAACTGTCTACCAGTGTCAATTTTGCAGGGCAGCAGCTCAAATTTCACTACTTAAAGTTTATGCATAAATTAACACCCAGGCTAGTGTCTGTACGATTGTTGTAACACTGTTCAACCAAAAACAATGCCCTGACGATGTTTTAAAAATAAACACATTGTCAATCATTTGTGAAAATTTCAAAACAAAAGGTCAAAGCGTCTAAGAGCTATTTTTTTAAGTTCTGGGATGTGCACTAAAAAGAAGCAGAGATAATTGCTAATTTGCATAACAATTCACTCAATGAGAAGTTTGCTAACAGTTCCAAATTTAAATGTATTATCGTTCTGTTAAAAGTTAAATATAGTGCATAATATGGAGGTCCCGTCATTTCTTTTTTTCACCATGTTTCTTTTTTATTATTTATGTACAGCCTTGCTAAATCTTGCTAAGCATTCAAAAGAAAGAATGTTTGCACCTGTTATATATATTTTAAAATCGTTTTTTGAGTATGTTCCACTATTCACAATTCTACAAAACTTCAACAGTCTATAGCCAAGACTGTTTGGATAATGAAAAGCAAAAACAAAACAAAAAGATTCACTCCCAAGTGCCCATGAACCTGCATCTCTACCTTAAAAAAAAGAATATGTAAGAACTTATTCATGTAAAACTTTCATTAATATAGTTTTCTCATAGTTATGTTATGTTGTTATATAGTCACAATAATGATACAATATGAAACAGACAGAGACGTAGCCATAGTATGTACAAGCACAAAAGTTATTAGTCCAAACTCAAGTAGCGCAAGAGGAAGTGAGATTGTCACAACATGTCACATAGCAATTCTTTTCATAACAATTATTTCTGAGAGCGTGATTGAGTCAGTCTCAAAATTCGTAAATATATTCCCGGGGAGTTTGCCGACTCCCCGTACAAATCCCTGCAAAGCGCCCGCTGTAAAACATGTAAAGTAAATGAACGGACACCCGCCCTTGTAAAAAAATATTTTAATCAAAATTAGTCAAGGTACAAGTGGGCTAAAACAAAATTTAAAACGGGTAAGTAGCATACGCCTTCTAATAGTTACAAATGAAATTATTCACACTGAATACAATGGCATAACACTGTACTAGTTTGAAAAGAAAAACATTTATTTACCAGTACTACGTAAACACACAAACAAAATCCCATTAATCTCTAACCGTGCGATTCAGCTGTCTTTGTTTCCGTGATGCTTTGCGTGATATAGTGTTCAAGGCTAAGGCTGTTCACTTCTCTTCAAACTCAATCATAAACTCTCATGCATTGCAGTCAATCGAGGAGATCTCCGACCCGAGGGTCCCCACGCACAAAGGACGTCCCCGAGACCTTACTCCTGTCTTTATGACGGAACTGTTTGTTTTGGCGTTTTACAATTATTAACTAAAACGAACTAAGTATACTTATTGGTCTGACCTTTGTCTTCGAGTGAGTCAATTGATCCCCAAGTTTACTTCTCACATTTGCCAAGCGAGAAATTCCACAACTTATGATCCGAACCAGGTCGATATATTACTTTCCTTTCCCCAAAAACTAAAACTATTCTCCGACTCCGAACTACGACCGGTTACAAAGGAACAAGCAAAGCAAGTGAATAATGTTCAAATGACTCCCAGATAATTTTATTAGGCAATATTCTCAACCCATATCACTGTTCCTGGGTTTAAATATGTGAATTGATTTCTGACCTTTGGACACTGTTGTGTGGTCAATATGGTTTCATGTCGTGCCTGATGAGATGCGCAATACTAATAGTATTTCAAGGATTTCGGTAAAAGCTGTGACATATGTGACTTTATTGTTAAACTTCTCAATTGTTAAGCTTAAATATGAAAGAATATTTCATTGTTACAATTCAAATAAAAATTTTAGCAACATATCTATAAACTAACAGAGTTAATGCTGCAAGCGGCGTCAGCTGGGCCCAAGCTGTAAAACATCAATTTTGTAATTAATGAGGTGACCTGATTGTTATTATGTTAGTTAGTCAGTTTGAAAGATCAGTACCACTTGGTCCAAATGCAGGTGGTTCCAAGAATGTAATTGGTTTGGTTGTCGAGATATGGTTTTAACATTTTATAATAAGCCATGTGCTTATGTATATTAATGATCATATATGACCATTTTTATGTCAGGCATATCTTTTGTTTGATGCCTTCATTATAGCACGAGGTAGGTGTTATCATGCAAAGAGAAAAGTTACTGGGTTTGACAGAATGCTGCAGTTGTCGGAAATGACAGTATTTCAGCAAAAGCACGGTGTGCGATTATTTTCGAAGCTTATGTGATAGCTAGCCAATTTGAAACGTGTTTATTACTGCCGATATACAAATAAGGTATATCATATATGTTATGACATTTACAAATAGAATTAATGATTATAATGAATAGAGGTTTATACTATAACTTTGACTCATATCACACAGCTCCTTATTTGTATTTTTCAACAGACAGTCCATTAAAGCATGCGACACGTTACGTACCACGTTCTATGCGGAGGTAACAATAGCGCGTGATTAACTAAAGCGATTATATTTTCATCTGTGATTACTTCTCAGCTGAATGGATTTGTGAAAAAGCCTTGACCATGAGCTGTCAATCAACGTGACAATTTGTTTTAGTAACATGAGCAGCATAACAACTAACAATTCAAATGTTTCAAGTTCGACAATGCTCAGTTGGTAATGTCGAAAATACATTGATATTTATTAAATCATTGTATTTTATTGACTAGAAACCACCAATTCAATATTGAATTCAATTGAAATATTGACATTTTTTTAGCAATAAACTTCAGCGATGATAATTATATGCTTTTGAGACCCAGGCACTTGTCAAGGGATACAAGAAAGTATATTGACAGATGAGTTGAAGATATTGTTGTGGAGGTTCCACCCGATCTAAACACAAATCTCATAGAGATCCACAGGAAAATATGTATACAACTGATAGAGTTAATGGTTTCCAAGAAAAAGTAATGGGACAGTGACAACAGACAAATTGACAATTCCACATGTTGAAATGTCACTACTTTTGAGGACACACATGTCCAACAAAAATTTAAAATGAATTTGAATCTTGGATGTTATGTTTACCAGCTCTGTGTATTGGGGGATTTAATTAAATACTAACATACAATGTATACACGCATGACTAATAGCTTTTATGGCTGGCATAAATAAAATAGGACAACCAGTTTCTAGAGTACATGTTCATTATGAAGTACTTGTCAGGTATGTTATATAGTTACATAGATTTGACTTTCCACGTCGATATCATGAATTGTTAGATTACTGGTACAATGGACAAAATGGCATTTGAAAAGTTTCATCTTCCCTTATCATCCTTAATTAGCAGCTACTAGAAACAATTTTGTTCCATGATTTTTCAATTTCCTCTTTTGAAGTAGAATACAATAATTCCAATACTTTCCAACCAGTTTCTTGGGTGGCTAGTAAATATGTATTAGTTGGATTAATAGTGTATTTGTACATTCCTGAAATCAGCGACTGACAAACCCGAGCACCTATACAATAATATATTACATCCAACTCAAGCTCAGATATAGGAAATGTTGACAGGTATCCAGCAAGCACGTGACCACCAGCAGTGATAGGATCCTGGCTCTGCAACATTGTGTACGTGATTGCAATGGCAGCATCAAAAACGTAATAATTATAATGGACATCACCAAAATCTAATATACCACATATTTCATAAGTGCAGCTTCCTGATTTTCCAGCTCCAGTTACAATGCTGCTGTTCACTACTTTTGGAGCAACAAGAATGTTGAACCCATTAAAATCACCATGAATGGCACCTATCAAACAAAATATTTATATTACATTATTTACATCACAATTTATATGTGTTAGGAAATCATGTGAATAAATAGATATCATCTGATAGCACTTGGGGATCAAGTTGACACTCATGGCATCAAGGCTGTATTATTCACTTAAATTTGAATATATGCATGGTTTATTTATACATTGGACCCGATCATCAATGTAACAATGATGTCTTTAGAACTGACAGAATATCAAACGAAACAGCCTGTGTATTGACAAAGACAAAAAATATTTTGAGAAATTTGTCCTAATATTTTCCAATATTTTTTTGAATAATTGCATTGAGCACAATGTTGAAGAAAAATTGCATTTTTTGACATTTTATTACCCAAATTTTTGAAATAATGAAGAAAACAAAAGGTACCACAACATGCACAATATTTATTTGTTTTTCAACCTATTGTACTATAATAATACTGCCAAAATAGCCAATATCCACTAAAATATAACCATCATTTTCTCAAAAATTAAGCTGGTGACCCCCAAGTTTTTTTAAGTTAATATCCTTATATTGCCAATTACAATTTATTGGAGAATGAATAAATTCCGGGTAATGAAATCATGAGTAGGCTTAATACTATAATAGTCAACCAGACATACAGACATATATACAGATATACATGCAGGGGAAAAAATTCTTAATGCTGGTGTCTTTTCTGGCCAGAAATATAAAATAACAATTAGATTATTACATAAATTCAAATAATACTATAAGTACTGTATCAATCTCAGGGTTTCTTATTAAATACTGCACTGCACTGTACTGCACAATGATACACAAACAGAACATGACACACAAATTTCTATTTTGAACTCTATCAGACAAGGCTTAATTAGCCATCTTATCATGTTCTATAATATAAGTACTAACCTTTTACAAGCAATGGATATTTTTGTATTACTTTTTCTTTAAACATCTTAATAAAATATATCAGGATACTTTTCTTCCGTTCTTCGCTGAAGACATTTACATATTTTTCAAGACGAGGAGTATTCACTAAATTCCATACATAATCTGGTCTGTTTAAACCTTCATGTTGAAATCTCTATTAGATGAGAAACAGAATAACATAGTATAATGAAATGATAAAGTAAATGCAAATTCTACAAACCTCACGCAAACCACACACAAAATGTACACATCATACACAAACCACACACCATCCATACACAGAACAAACCACAAACCATACACATAACAAACCCCACACAAACCATACACATAACAAACCACACACAAACCATACACATAACAAACCACACACAAACCATACACATAACAGACCACACACAAACCATACACATAACAAACCACACACAAACCATACATATAACAAACCACACACAAACCATACACATAACAAACCACACACAAACCATACACATAACAAACCACACACAAACCATGCA